CATGTTTCTTTAGCAGCACTGTACGAAGTTAATCTCATCCAACGTTGTTCACCGTGGCTAAAGGAACATGTTCTGTCTAAATTCTGTTAGTCAAGTAATACATGGAATGAGTTTTACACCGTACTCATCCACTATTGGTTTTGATAATCCCTTGCCGTATACAGTGAGAAAGATTTGTCATTACTATAATAAGAATATATCGGTTGGGCCAGCTCCCAATTCAGGATTTTTCAGGATATTATTTTGACCTCATATTTTAAGGGATATTAGACATCTTTGCACCAAATTACAGCTTTATAGGTCGAACAACTTTGGAAATATTCCTTGTGCAAAAAATACACCATTTATTGAATTAATGCTCAATATAGCCACCATTTTCTCCATTGTATATTTTTTGTTGAAAATGCATTTGTTTAATTAAAGAGATTTTTGATTTTGTAATTTTTTACAAGGAATTTTAAAAAGACTGTATTTTCAAAATGGATCAACTGTAAGCTGTTATTTGGTGAAAAGATGTCAAAGAAAATATGAGGTCAAAACATTATGATCATAGCTTTGATAGTTCTTGAAAAAAATCCTGAAATGAAAAGTGTTATCGCTTTTTTCTGGACCACCCGAAATACCTTTTTGTTAATATTCCCTAATCGTCGAGTCAGACTGACTGGAATCCGCCACAAGTAATCAGTTGGCTCGCATAGACATTATTACTTTATCTTTAAGTTTCATTTGGAATTATAAGATGGCATAATAATAAAATGGAGATCAGTCGTCTTTTTCTAATAAATCAGATTTTCTGGATATCGACAGGCAGACAAAATAAATCATGAGAAAAAACCTGCTTAGATTTTCTAATTAATATCAACGACGACTTTCTCCCAAATGAAAGGCTTTTCTCTCTTATCGCATAATATCAAATTCATGATATAATAGAAAACGATCGTTTGCATAAAGACCGTTTTTGAAAAACAATTTTTGATAATAATGTATCTCATTTTCCTTAGATCAAGATCAAAGAATTTTGTAGAATCTCTTTACTTTTGTCTTATGGGTCAGATATATCCGATAATTCAAAAGAAATTAATGGTTGTTTATTGTACTTTATTACAATATTAATGGAGACAATATATGATAATAAAGTTTCTCATTTCCGAATATAAAAAACAAAATCTTTGTCCGATTTGAGAGTACAGATTAATTTAGGATGTAAAAGTATATAACATTAAAGGCAGCAGTAATTTTGTCACAAGAAATTTGGTCTCAGTGAATTGATCACACGGGAATTTAAGTACAAGAAAAATTCTATTAGGTTAAAATGACAGCGACATGCAACTTGCTTGTTGGTGAGATCTGGATTCTGGGCATTGATATGTTTTGTCGTAAAGCAGAATATCGAAGATTGTTTGAGAAACGGGTTTGGGATTAAGCCATTCAGGCGCCTCGATATTTATCCGATATTGGCAATTCCATTATGGACATCTGTTGCCGTCCTTCGTCATCATCCTTTCTATCTGAAATCTCCGACAACCTATGATTGTGTCACATTTCACTTCAAATTACGTGTAATCTATTTCCTAGCCTCTCTGAAAGGGGTATTTCGTTTAATATTAAGAAATCTGTGAATGCGTTAGGTCGCATAGAAAACCGGGATAATGATAGGAAAGTGACATTTATGGCTTAATTCTACAACATTCTGTTACAATAAAGGAGAAATCTGGTCGACTGGAATTGTTCAACTTACATAAATTCACCATTATATAAATAAGAAAATGGTCTGTTGCCGCGCTTAATTATTCAAAGCAGAAGGCTAATTCAAGTGAATGATGTATGTTTAAATTTCCAATATAGAAGAAAGGTTACCTGAAATGATATCAAGTAAAATTGGTTTTCGAAATTGTTTAGTGAAGCATTGAATTTAGTATTTTAAAGTAGATGAGTATTAACTAGAAAAAAGGTTTTTGGTTTAATTGACTTATTAAAAGAAGTTTCACACAATGATTACGATTGAAAAATCCCCATTGTTTCTATGTTTAGAGGCTTTTTATTTTCCGGCCAGTCATTCACGTACTTCCGGTTTTGTAGTTTATTCTTCATTTCGTTTGAATCTAGAAATAGTATACATGTAGTTAATTTAGCTCCAGTGGTAAAATTAACCATTAGTTGGCTGAAGGAAAGTTTTTATGTGTGTTTATAAATGGACAGTAAGCTTACTTAAACTTCCTGCTAGTATTTTATTGGTGTACTATTTCCGTTTCGTGTAGTGATAGAAGTAGCTTTGGCACGAACCGGTCATAAAACAGCAATTAACATTATCAGCTAAGATATTTTCCCGAAAAGACCTTGAGAATTGATTTTTCTGAGGAAAGGATTTATTCACGTTTGTTTTCGTAATATTTTCCATTAAAGCCGTATTTGCTGAAGGATAAAATTCTGATCGGCCTTCAATGACAGTTTACTCTTTTCAGGGATTCAATCAATTCAGGCCAAACTATCAATACAACCGATTGCTCTTACTGCTTGAAACAATACACAACTATCATTTAGCTATCTGTTGAAGAGAATTACAGGGCGAATATCGACGTAACAATTTCTGTTCTCTGTAATCAATGTTCAATCGTCTTCAAAGTCTAGAAAACGACAACAGCAAAAATTATAAAAGCGTTGGTCAGCAGCAACATCTTTTAAACGAGAAGAATGATAATGTTGAAATCACAAGTATGAGTTGAGACCAATGAAGGTCAACATAAAAAGCTCTTTTTCATGGTTAAAGGTGGGCTCATGTCGACTGTATATTTCATGTTCAGAGTATTTCGACACAGTCGCCAGGAATGAAACGAATATATTGAGAAAATGGCCGTCTACTGTGATCATTTTGATGGTTTGAAGTTTTTGACAGCTTAAGTCCACACGATTCAATATTTGCACTAGAAAGTAAAATATTTTCTCGGGTCGACTATAATATACCAGATGCTGTCAATTGCTAGCAGTGTTTGAAAAATCCAGTTGCTCTCCCGATTCCATCAAGGGGAAGGTCTGTCTGAACACAACTTTCAGCTTCTTGAAAGCACAAATTCTGTGACATGGACTTTGAAATTTGTATGTACAGGTCGATTAGTGCTAGCTAGACATACTTCATGTTATTTATAATTAAGAAAACTGAAGCTATAAAATAACAATTGAATTCAACTTGTTTGTAGTTTGTTGAATTCTCGAGACGCCATGTTAGTTTTCTGTATAGCCGTTATCTATTGTAAACAAACAGATCAATCTTTTGAATAATAGCGCCTTCATTAGCCAAGTCAGGTGAAAAGTATGAATAAAATTCAACACTCCACTTCATTCATTCATAGTAGACTGCAGGATTGTTTTAGGTATAAATAAAATGCCATGAAGGTTTTTATCCTAGTTTTCTGCAATTTACTGAGCTCATATAGACAGGCAACAGCCTGTGATGAGGTGTGTATTATATGTTACTAATTCAGAGACTTGCAATTTACTGCTGTAACTGACAATGCTAGTGCCTAAATAGGAAAATAAGTGGTGACGACTCATTGAAAAATCACGTTGTTAGAACGATATATTTTAGACAGTTGTATTGAATGGGAACTGAACAACAAACATTGGCATATTTGGTTTCAAAATATTAGAACATTAATGGAAAAACAAATCTTCAATAAAGACCATTCCTGAATGATGTCTTGGGGTAGGCTTTTAAAAAACTGTCAATATTTAAAATTAAGCTGTCGGCATTTTACCATAACCATTTGTAATCTGTATTAAAGATGATAAACGGATAGTTTGTTAAGATAATGGGTCTGTTAACATTCTTGTAACAAACATGGATTTCGCAATATTGCGAGAATTCTAAGAACTTATAGTTCATGAGTAAACAATATGACAGGCATTCAAGTTTTTTTCTTAGACTGATTCATATGTTTGTGTTCTGGTCGGCGATTTCATTAATATTGTCAATACCTTTCGCCTATGAACGAACTAATGACTAAAAAAATAGGTCGAAGGATAATGGGTAATCTTGGTTAAAATCTTAATTATATTATAATATAACATAAAACATAGGAATATTAAAACAGAACCCTATAAAAACATGTTGTTGTTAGTCAGAGTTCTGTGATTTGGTCTTAATATATATTTCTATATCGCTCTACAAATGTTGTATTGAGCACTATTTTAACTGAAAATATTTTATTATTATTGTATAACGTAACACATGTTTGTTATAGTTGGGAGTAAATGTTAAGTACTTGAACTCGGCAAATGTTATACAGAAGAATCCTTGCTCAAAGAGACTGACATTTTTGTATAAAGGCTTATGGTCATACATGCATTCACACGCAGGCAAGGAGGAATCTCTAGATAGGTTCGTAATGTGTATAACAACTAAAGAATACCAGTAAATCAAATAATTTGCATTATATTTGTGTAATAAGTGAATTCTCTAAAGTAGCTCAAACACAATAATGTTTCTAAATGGATCATTAGTGCTGTGTCAAATAGTCCGTTTTTTAAAACTTCTTTTTTTTTAGTTGATTGCTCTTTAAACTACCAAAACCGGTACCTCCATTTTAATTCTATATTAAAACTGCTTTTTACTCAGCTAGATATATTATGAACAAATGTAGTCGTATAATGACGTATTACATGCATTTCACGGTTCATTATATAATAAATATGATATAATCATTTGATTAACTCAACCGAATACCTATTGTTTCGCGTCGTATTTACATCGAAAAACAAAGCTTATCCTTAACATGTGTTCTCCAAATAAAGTGTTATGCATGAAAGGATATCTCCAATACGCATAATTAACATATAACTCATATGATATATTGATTTATTTACCATATATGTCATTTTATTTTATTTATCATTGCAATTTTATTAGTAGAAATAAATAGAAGCTTATGGTTTACATATTAAGTTCTCCATAAAACTTTATTATTTGTCACTTCAGGTTTATTGGTAAAAAGTAAACATTCACAATGGCAGTGTCCAATTTTACAACACCAGACGGAATTGACGTACAGATAGAAGAAACCCCGCCCGAGGAAACAGCTATAGTCTGCATATTGATTATTTTGAGTGTTTTTGGAAGTGTTGGAAACGGATTAGTTTTATACGTCTTCTCTCGAAAAATGGACAACGTCACGTCGACTATTTTTATTTTGGCTTTGGCTGGAACAGACTTCATTACGTGTTTAGTCATCATTCCTTTCACCGCAGTCGCCATAGTTTTACAGAATCATTTAAAATACGACTTTTTCTGTAAACTGTATCACTTTCTTATAACATGTAACGTACCATTGTCAGCATTTATCATGGTGGCAATTGCTGTAGATCGCTATTTCTGTATTTGTAAACCATTCTTGCACGCTATGAATCCATTTCGGGCGAAAGTGGTTGTTCTTTTCCTAGGAATCTTTTCATTCATCTTAGGAACAATAACATCCTTGGCATTCGGTGTATACCACCCTGTGTCGAACAATAACACTACACATAATTCTACGGACAGTGAAAACTATAACGGGACGAACGTAAATGAAATGTATTTAGAATACAGTACGCACTGCCAAGCCAACTATTTGCTGATATCCGGTTCTGTAATCAAGATATATCAAAATGTGTATGCTTCGTTTTACCTCATCGCTCTAATAATAGTTCTCATATTGTATATGATTATCTACAAATCAGTTATCAAGCGTAGGAAGTGGCGTCAACGTCAACGGTCCTCAAGACCTTCTGGGAAATCAGTTGCGACGTGTGTGACGGAAATTGAGGTTATGGAAATGCCTGAAAACAATGGTGTCAATAATGTGAAACATGAGGAATGCGTCAGACTGAATAGTGAAACTAGAAAATCTACCAAAATAAAGAGAGACTATGATTTTTTAGCCAATATTCGAACGGCGTTTATGTTGTTCGTGGTTACAGTTGTTTTTATCATTGCTTTTCTTCCATCGTGGTTAATGGCCAAACGTCTTATACAATTTAATATAATCATATTTTATATGTATTTTGTATATAATGTAGCAAATCCTGTTATTTATTCATTTATGAACCAAACTTTTCGTAAAGAACTAAAAAATGTTTTCCAACGGGGGCGTAAATGCGTGATAAGGTAAACCAAACAAAACATTGTTGATATGTGGCCTTTAGTGTAATTATATACCATCGTTAGCGGCCGATCACTGTGGTCATTTGTGAAACTTGTGCAAGCTTTACAATTTTTTAGTCCATCGAAAATATCGACCATCTTTCACCAAAGTTGTTATGAAAATAGAAATCAGACCAATGGTAAATAAGATAAGTATTATAAAGTATAAGCTAATTTTAGGTAAAAGTCAACTTTGAAAGCTGGAAATTACGGTCTAAATGACTAAAAATAAAGTTTTGTACCATGAATGTGACAAGTAACTTCATGTTCAAAATATTGTTGTTCTAGTCATAGTGATTCCATTTATAGGCTTATTATGAGAAAAGGACATGAGAAATTCTTTACATTGTAAAGATTATATCGTTTAAATCACACATCTCCGTCTGAAAGCTTCAACAGTATACATACCACCATGGATAAAATGTCATCTGTTGTCTAATAGCAGGTATACGTTATAACGTGTTTGACAGGGCTGGCACATATATAAAAATGTTATGTGGAAACATTTTGTTCAATAGCATTGTTTGCCAATGAACTATGAAGAGACGAACAATTAATGTACTATTTCGTTGCGTCGATTACTCTTAATTGAAACATGCATTTATAATAGCCGTTGCTCTAAATTCAAAAGGAGAATGATTGTTAAATTGCTTTTTATATTGTGAATTGAATGCAATGTCAGTAACCACACTATTATAGCGAAACTAAATGGGAAGATTCGCCATGATTCAATCTTCATCGGAACAAAAATAACTTTTTCTATTTCTATCAACCATGAAATATTAGAACTTGAAAAACTTTCATGTCACGTTTTTAGGAAACGTGTTTTAATTTGTTTTATAGCAAATTTTGAGCCTTTGGAAATAATCGTACGTGTTGCAGGTCTATTTGCTACTTTCAGAATTACGAAAGGAAATTATACTGGCTAGAGTGAAATTGTTTTTGGTACCTTCTGGTCATTTTGTGTTCATGAAGTATGTGGCAATATGCTCGAAGTTTATCCAGTAACTTCCTGAGATTTGTTAAGCTGAAGATGGTCGTGGTGTCCTTGACTGATTTGATGATCAACGTGTCGTAGACAAAAACGACAGAAAAAAAGACTGCAGACAGGCCGACCTTATGAAAGTGATATATGTGATAATTATGACAAACGTTTCCTACTGTCGTCTGGAACAAAAAGAAGTAAGACATATTGAGACTTTCAAATCCAATTTTGTTATGGAAATTATGTTTGTGTGACAGGATTTGTCGTTCGGGGAATTGGTGATATTTATTCTGGCAACGGTAATTTGCAATTCATTGAAAGATAATTAAAACTTCAGATTGGGACACTATATCCAATAGAGATAGGAGGATAGGATGTATCCATAAGGTGATAATATCCTCCGATTTCCAATAAATTGCTCAGAGAAGCTCGTGAAATTACTTAATACTTAACTGGATTATTTTGTAAAAGTTGGACATCAATTTCAAGTGACAGAAAGGCGTTTATCCATGTATATGTCATTGAATATCAAGTGTATTGCTGTGTCGGGTCGAAGCTGAGAGATAGTTACATTAACATTATTTCCATATATTAGGGAACTTTCTCTGAAAGTCTGGTTACAGATACGATACAGCCAATTTTTATCATAATTGTGCTCTTACTTGACATTCCGTTTCATGGTATTTTAGTAGTTGACATAGTTGGATGTCAAATATTGAATTCTTCTTGGTCCTGAGTGTAAAGTTTATCTTTCGTGGTTTACATTTTCATGCCATTCGTCACCGGTGCCAATAAGCGACTTGATGACGACATTGTGATATGAAATCATGTTAACTGTATGTGGGAAAAAGTTGTTTTGATGTCTGTGTTGTGGATCACACTTTTAAGGTCCAAACATTGTCGATATGCTTTAGTAGCTGGTTAAATATGTGACTCTACTGTTTTATAGGAATCATCTGGGATCTGTCATATAAATGAATCATGCAATAACATAAAAAAAAACATTTATATAAGATCATTCACTTTCGTTTTTATGTACACGGACAACCGCGTGTCGGATTTTTATGGATTTCAGTGCATTAACTAAAAGGTAAACATAGCTCATAGAAACTAATCTTAGTTAAGTGTATCACTTATCCGCATTTCAATCCGACGTCCAGTTATCCTGTAATCTTTAAGTTTAGATTGTATGTCAGTTACATTCTCATGGGATGCGCTGTGAGAATGTGTCAATTGGCAAAGCAAACATCACAAAGTGACAAAGGGTATGCAAAATGATACATATCTGTATATCACTTAAAAGCTGAAGTGCAGTGTTGGATTGTTCACCCACCAACAGGAAACGTCAGCATTAAAATTTGAATTTTACCTGTTGAGATTTCCTTCATATTTAAATTTCACATCAATCATCTTGTTTATGACTTAAACAATTGGAGCTTAACGAATCCTGATTATTAAAATGACATAACTGACGAGGAATATAACACTAAACCAAGTTCGGAATATCGAGGTTTATTTGTAAATACTTGTTAGTGATTGTCGTTATTTATGATGTAAATGTTCATGTTAATTATTAAATAAAATAGTTTTTTTTTCATAATATATTCAATTCTATTGGGGAGATATTCCGCATAAATGAAAGTAATAGAATGGTAATGCCATTGATAGACAGTATTATAAAAGCCTTAACTTTCGGGCCGAGCAGGGGCCATAAAATTTTCTAGGGGGGCACAGACCATTCTTTCAGTGTGTAAAATGGAAGTTGGGGGCACCAAACACAACAAACACAAAAAAAGCAAATCTTTTGGAGCAAAGGTAACAACAGTAGCTTCCTTAACATCACCAGCCTCTGCCATTGGGAAAGGAAAGAATTCAACAAAGCTTACTAAGCTTAAAGATAGAAGCATCTTGCCTAAAGCAAGGTCAGCAAGATCTGTGGCCATCATCCCCCCACCTCCCGTAGAGATTGAATCTTAGTTGATTTAATATAAGTAAATATTTAATTTCGTCATAAAACAATGGCGTAAATGGACTGTTACAGTATTCTCACCTTGAATTACTTCAACTATTTCTTTGACAATGTCATTCTCTAATTAATTGCACCATGGACCAATGTTTATGATCTGAATCATCTTAACGTAATAAAGAATACACGTGGTCATAAATCTTACAAATACTGAAAGGCTAATAAAAGTACTAATATTTACGCACATAGTGACCTTCAAATATGATGGACATCTACACCAAACGAACAGAAGCCCTCGTGACTCAATATTCCATATCGAGTAAAATATTATTAAATCTTGATTATTTTTATCCGATAATCGTGCGACATCTGTGAAACATCTATGAGAATAATTTCATTGAATATGAAAGATGACATAGTTATTTGTCAAGAGAATTGTCTAATCGGTTGAGTAATAAAAATGGTATGAATAACAAGTAAGATTTGATGTAGTCTGATGGGAGACATTATACATCTGTTATTTAAGAATTCCAATTATACATAATTTCCTGATAGAAGATTTATATTGTGAGAAATGTAAATAGAAAAAAAAAATAAGAAGAGGTTATGATTTAATACTATAGCAGAAGGCCTACATTTTTTCATGTTGATACATAAGTAATAATTTTAAGGCGCAATACAAACTACAACGATGAAACGAAATTATTTTGAGAAGCGTGCAATTCATTTATATTCCATTCAATAATCACGAGATGGTACAACATAGGACAATATAATATACCAGGTTTAAAACCCGGATTTCGCAGACCACATCCTTCAATGCAATCGACCGATACAACTGTCTGTCAAAACGAAAAAAAATTTTCGCGAATTTACCACACCTAAAATAATCAATATTGTACAAAGAAGTGACATGCACTATGCAGTAATTAGTTTATAAGACTGCAAATTATTTCAGAATCATCTGAACTACACCTTGTGGTGTAAATCGATATCCCCAGGGTGTGAACCAACTAAAATCTTTTTGATAAAATCATTAATAACCACACAGGAAAATCATAATTTCATCGTATTTTCGACACTGGATTCTCCCTGAAGTACAGCTAGTTATGTGAAGGCTATATCTCTCAGTTAAGAATCTCTCATTCTGTGATATCAATGGTTGAACGATACATTGGATATACAAATAGACGCAAATCTACTGCATATAAAAACCTTTTCGGGGACATAATTTTTAAAATGTTATTGTAATTTGCCATTGCGAACTTCGTCTCATACCTGTAATACTTGTCTTGTATCTGTATGGGACCTTGTGACTCCACTACATTGTCCGGTAATGTGCGTAAAACTCTGAGTAACAACGTTTTTCAGGTTCTATTTTAATATTTCTTTACAATAAACTTGATGTATCGAGCTCTTTTGTAGAAAATAATTTTTTTAGCATTTTATTTCATAGCATTACAGAAATTTGAAGTTTCGCAGAGTTTATAATAAAGCGAGTGAATATTATGATTTGTAAAAACATCACACATCTTCAGAGACCCCCTTCTCAGTAAGTCTATTTAATATCAATTAGTGTAAAGTTAAAAAAAAAGATTATATTTTAATCACATTATTCCATATCTCTATGACGTAGGTCATTATAGTTCAACTGTTGCTGTACCAGACCGGATCATCTGCTTCTATTCCAGCCTCTGGTAACTACTAAGTTGTCTACTCCCAGCCGATTTCTGTCACAATATCTATTAGACATAAAGACAGATGTTTCGGACAATAGCTGTATGTCAAGCATCATAATGATGCCCTGCTAGGCACAGCACACAAATACACAAACTATTAGGGTTTATGAAGGTGTTGCGACACAACACACGTTGTTTATCCTGCAGCCAGGGATCACAAAAAGGAAGAATGACTGACAGCGAGATCACTGAAAAAAGATTGTTTCCATACGAGATCATACATTTTCACCGAGAAATTGCTGAGAATCAAGACCGCGGCAGAAGGTTATATAACATCA